GCGTGGAGCCCTTTTTGGGCTCCCCTGTCCTGAGCCCCCGTCCCGCCCTTGCCGCAGCAAACGGAGGGTGTGGGGAGCACCGCGCCAGCCGAGCCGCGGGAGCCTTTGCACCAACAGCACCTTCCCTTGGGCCCCAAAATGCTCGTTCCCATCCTCCTTCCTTCCTTCCCCTCCCGGCCCCAGAGCAAAGCGGTATTTTCATCGCAGGGGCAGCATTTCTTTCTGGCTGCTCACAGCCAGACCCTGACCCCTTCCCGGCCAGTATTGCCGCCCGGCGTGTGGTGCACCGCCACGGCCCCCCCCGTGCTTTACTCCCTGTTGTTTGCGATTGAGGTTGTTGGTGTGGGATGGAGGGCGCGTGCGTGCTGCCTTGTAAACAGCACTGTTATTTCTGGATCCTTGCTCCGGGGAAGGAGCCAAACGTGAGTAATGAAAGGAAGAGGAGGGATGCCAGCGCATCCCTCTTTCCCGGCCTCGCTCCTGCACCAGCGAAGAACCAGAGAGCAGGACCGGGGACATACGGACAGCCCTTGCTGCCGGCTCCTGCCCACGGCGGAGGACAATTCCCGGTTCACTTTTTTGCTGCGTGGGTGACCCGGCTTTGGGTGGGCAGTGCACATGGGTGCTTGCAGCAGCTTTTCCCCCCCAGCAGTGTCCAGCTCGGGGGCTCAGAGGTACAGACCATCCGTACCCAATTACTCTCCATCCCCCCTTCCCTGGCCCAGAAGTGCCCTGCACCCCCTTTACCAATGGAGAGGCTAAGGGATGTGACTAAGGGCAGGCAGGACCCCGAGTTCATGGCCAGCATCCTCCTGGGGCTCCCCCAAGGCAGATGTCGCTAGGAAGGAGATGGCTGTACAGCGGTAGGAACAGCTGCCTCCAAGTTTTACAGCAGGACAGACAGACCAGCGATGCTCACAGGCTCCTGTTTTATCCCTGCTGGCACCAGTCCCCACCCCGGTACTGTGGCTCCGAGCCCCGCAGGCAGCCTGGGAGGTGTTACAGCCTCGCTCAGCCCATGAAATCACCGTGGGGTGTTTGGATGGTAGCACGGTGAAGGAGCCCAGCAGCG